TATAAATCAATACATTTTCCTTTTCTAGGTGATGTGAGATTGTGGATGTTACAATCGCCCTTCTGTAGGGGCTAAATGTCCTCATTGGCCATATTTCTAGCTAGATTTAAGTTTTGATAATATTTGTAATATCCCATTTCACTATATAGTTTGAAATATTGAATATCGTGTTAATCATTTTTTGTGGAATTTGACTCAAGAGATTATCATGGTTTTAATTTTTTATCAACTAAATTTTGAGTTCATTTATTTCTTTTGATTTTGCAACAAAATAGATTGCCGATGTACCAATTATATATCTGAAAATAAGAAATGAAATTTGTTCATACGTTAGAGAAGTTTCAATTTTTGCAATTTATAGTGCGACATTGTTTTCACATAGAATAACACTAATATTTTCAATCGAAGTAATTTATTCTTATTCTTGATTGTGATTCTTTATTCTTATTAATTACTAGTACATAAGGAAAGCGAGAAATTTGTCTACGTTGGTAGAAATTATAATTTTTTTTTGATTTCTGGGGTCAACTAACGATTTTCATGGTCAAACAGACGAAAACCGTCAGTGAGGACTAGAGGTGCTTTTTTTAAAAGGTTTGGTACCTTAAGTGGTACAAATTAAAGGTTTAGGTAAAGTCTGCAAATAAGTGAAATGTTTGGTACCTGGTCTACAATTTTTCCCTAAAACCTTCTTACATTGGTCACTTAATAAATCATCTTTAAGTAATGACTAATAAGATCGATGGCGGTTTTGCACAATCGTTTCGCATAATTACTTCCATGTACTACAATTCTAGTCATCACTTAACATGATACGTAATGAGAAGTTCGATAATTACATTTTAATGATATCTTTAAAAAAAGACTATCCCCGTCAGCATTCACATAATCTATTCATGTATACCAACTATTATGATAGAAATAATATTTTTATCAAAAATAATATATAAACAAGCTCAAATTGTCAAATACATAAATTCCATAATGTCAATTATCATTTTCAATAATGTCCATTCTTTCGATATGTTCATTGAATGTCTTTAGTGGCAATCCTTGCGTTAGTGGATCTACAGTCATAAGATTGATGCTAATATGCTTGATTGACCCTTTTTATTTTTGAAGTTCTTATTTAACGGCAAAGTACTTCAATTCCATATGTTTAGCATCTTTAGAGTACTTGTCGTTATTAAAAAAAAAAAGACTGTTACAGATTTATCACAATAAAGTTTTAGCAACTTGGCAATACTGTCGACAATTCCAAGCCCTGAAATAATGTTCTGCAGCTAATTTCCTTGAACTCTGGCCTCAAAACATGTCACAAACTCTGCTTCCATAGTGGATGCAGCAATGTGACTGCTTCGCACTTTTCCATGATATAGTCCCTCCAGCCAAAGGAACAGATAGCCAAATGTGGACTTTCTATTATCCACATGATAAGTACGTTTTACATACTTATTTTACCGTCAAAATATGAGTAATTGTTGATTAATATGTTGAAATATAGGTTAATTCTATGCAATTCATGTTTTGCAGGACAAGTGATGAATGTAACGGAAATAAGGAGAAACAAGTGAAAAATGACCAGAATGGAAGAAAGTGAAAGTTCAGGGACTAAAGTGAAAATACTCAAAAATTATGTCGGGACTCACGATGAAGGTTCGAGAGTGCTAAGGGTCGATTGGAAGCAATTAGAAGTCAAAAAG